GCCCCCCCTCCACCCGCCCCGTAAGTTTCAGTTTTGATTTTTTTTGGTCCAGAAAATCCAGCGTGTTGCCAGATAAACTTGTGGTATTTGATTCAAGTTTCAATAGTTTTTGTTCTCTTCTTCCAGCTAAATTGAGTTGTATTTGGTGTCGGATCCTAAATATTTTGTAGCCCTGTAAAATCCACAATAAGTAACCGGCCAAGCACTTAAGTGGTTTATGTCATTACTTAAGTACCTTTTTCTCATTAATGTACTGTATGCCATCTGTAAAGTGCTCTATGCCATTATTAAATTACTTGTTTTCTTAAAGTATTTTATTCAATTATTAAAGTAATTTATGCCATTATTAAAATATTTTATGCCATTATTAAAGCTCTTTTTTTTCATTATTAAACAGTCACTAAGATAGAGAAGAGTGAGTTATGTGTGTGATTGGTTATTGATGACATCCTTAGATATAGGAGAAAGAGTTTGTAACGGAAATGTGTTGTAATGTTCTTACTGGGGATAGGTTGCCTTGTGTATCACGTGACAGCTGATTTGTACTGACCGTCAAATATGGTCAATAAATTGTTATTAGATTGTCCAATATGGTCAATGAATTGTTCTGTCTTAGATTGTCAAGTATGGTCAATGAATTGTTCTGTCTTAGATTGTCAAGTATGGTCAATGAATTGTTCTGTCTTAGATTGTCAAGTATGGTCAATGAATTGTTCTGTCTTAGATTGTCAAATATGGTCAATGAATTGTTCTTAGATTGTCAAATATGGTCAATCGATTGTTTTTAGATTGTCAAATGTGGTTATACTATTGTGAAAGATTGTCATATGATTGTAATTTGGTGATTGGATTCTAAAATTGGGTTTACAAAGTGTTTTTATACGTATAATAATGTGGACTCATGATATTTATATTGGTGATAGACTTCATGATATTTATATTAGTGATAGACTTCATGATATTTATATTGGTGATAGACTTCATGATATTTATATTAGTGATAGACTTGTCTCGACAAGGAAGTCTAAAGGAGAGATATATATGTATGGTTTCTCCACATATGTCTAGGAGTCTATGATATTGATGGACGCGTCTAGAACTTGTAATTTACAACGATCCACTTAGAATGAGGGTATGGGGGGAGGGGTGGAACTGTATTGAGTAACATTGTAAACAGTGTACCAAGAGTAGTGTTACAAATCTTGTAGGTTTAAAGAAGGCTACTGTAAGGTGTCGTTAGAAGTAGCAGTTTAAAGTAGGCTACTGTAAAGTGGCGTTAGAAGTAGCAGTTTAAAGTAGGCTGCTATAAGCTGATGTGAGAAGTAGCCGTTTAAAGTAGGCTACTATTAGCTAATGTCAGGAGTTTAATGTAGGCAACTGCAAGCTAGTCTTCCACATCCTACCCTGTCAATTACCGTCGTGTCTCCCCTCTAGGCAGACTGTTTAATATAATTTGGATAGTTCGTGTGATAGTTGTCTACCATCAAATGCCAGCCATCCCACCAGAGTTGTGTAACCCTACCAACCGCGGCGGTCATTATCAGAGACATTAATTCCTCATTATGTAAAACATAATGGATAGAAGTGGGGAAGCAGTAGGTCACAATTGATACTGGATTACTTTTTTCTTGCCTACTAGGCGGTTGGTGGAGTTTTGTATGCATTTATTCTTGGGGTACTACTTAGTGCCAGTGTTTCTTTCAGAGTTTTTTTTTTCTACGGGTGTGGGAATGGGACGTGAAACTTTGGGGTAGGGGGGGGGGGGGGTCGGCGGACACTGGTAAAAGTATATATTAATATATTTTCTTGATAAATTCTATTTCGTTCTTACGTGAGCTTCGGTGGGGGGGGGGGGGGGGGGGGGAGAGGGGGAGGGTGTATGTCAAATATGTCTGAAAGAAACTCCGGTTAGTGCTGTTTTAGCTGTTTGACTTGGTGCTGTTTTAGCTGTTTTACGTGGTGCTGTTTTAGATGTTTTACTTGGTGCTGTTTTAGCTGTTTTACTTAGTGCTGTTTTAGCTGTTTTACTTGGTGCTGTTTAAGCTGTTTTACTTGGTGCTGCTTCCCCTTCCTTGTATCCCATGTTGCCCAACCAACCGCCCCAAAACAAAACCAAACTAAACGATCTCCGTTTTGTTTTTGTCCCCTGCACTTTGATGGCACGGCCACGTGTAATTACGTGGCTCATTAGGGTTGTGACCTCTCATTAGGGTTGTGACCTCTATTTAAAGACGCTCTCGTTTAGCCCTGATTTAAGGCAAGGGGTTAGGCATTGGGTGGGATTTAATGCCGTGTCTAAGGCAAGGCGTTAGGCATTTATATGATTTTAGTTCAAAGTGTCGGCGTGGTCGAGTCGGTAAAGCTCATGGTTGCTAAACCGAAAAGCCACGAGTTCGAACCCTCGGGCAGATGAGGCTCGTTAGCTGGGGACGGCCACTCTTCTAGGAGAGACAACTCCAAAATTAAACAACTGCTGCCTTGTAGTTTGTTCTTGGTTGGACAAAGGCTATGGAAGCAAATCCAAAAAGAAAAGCAGGCTGAAATCGGAGTCAATGGCCTCAAAGGCGCATAACCAATTGACACGTAACGCTTAATTGTGTTGGAGACGTGGTCGAGTCGGCAAAAAAGCTCATGGTTGATAAATTCGAACAAAGTCTCAAGTTCAAACCCACTGGCAGATAAATCTCGATCCCCTTTAACACTAATAATTAAGAACGAAGAAGAAGAAGAAAGAAGAAGTTCAAAGTGTGAGGAGATGGAGGTTTGAGTTAGCACAATATATAACGACCCAAATGTGTAGAATTGTATGCGGCCCGCAAAGTACTCTCATCCGGCCCGCGGGGATCTTTTTGTCCAAGGAAAAATAGTTTGATGATGATGGCTGAAGAACTTTGCGCAGAAAAAAATCAAAGACATGCTTGGAAGAAACTGGCCCCCCAACTGAAATTCGATAGTTTATGCGGCCCTCGGACTGAAAAGTTTGGAGACCCCTGGTCTATACCAACCCCAGCTCCTCGTGTGAAATACGAATGTAAAATAACAATGTCCTGTCCGTTAGGTGAAATGCAATGTCCTACTCATATATAAAATACAAAGTCCTGCTTGGTAAGTAAAATACAAAGTTCTGCCCGTTAGGTGAGATGGACGTATTGTTAATTGTATGAAGCACCAGTCCCCGCTAATTAATTGTACTTGCAGACATCGATTGCTTCAGCGAGCAGTTGGTAGCAGGACATGCCAGTGTGAGCCGCCGTCGCGAAAGGGGGGGGGGGCGGGACGGGACGGGGTGGTGTCTAGTCCTGCGCGAGACAGCTCACCGCGTGAGTACCGTCTGTCGTCACTCGACGTGCTCACCTGGCACCTGGCGGAAGGTGCATCTGACATGTGGCACTGACACCAGTGGCATTTCGATGTCATTGATGACATGGGTGAGATGTAGTTCGTGCCATGGATGGCATGTGGTTCGTGATATAGATGTCTTGTAGTTCGTGTTATCTCATGTCGTTCATGATATAGATGTCATGTAGTTCGTGATACGGGTGAGAAGTAGTTCTTGATATAGATTTCACATAGTTCGTGATATAGATGTCATGTAGTTCATGATATAGATGTCTTGTAGTTCGTGATATAGATGTCTTGTAGTTCGTGATATAGATGTCATATAGTTCGTGATATAAATGTCATGTAGTTCCTGGTACGGGTGAGGAGTGATAATGTTGATGATATCTTGTTGTGTTATAAGAAGATAAAATTATAGATTTTATGGACTAATTAATGGATAATTATTTAAAATCAGTTTTATCCAGTAATTAATAGTTATAGCATATTACTTTACGGCAAAACTTATCGGGTGTTACAACGCACACTTCAATTGTGTAAGACTTTGCAAGTTTTAATATCACCTACTGTATATTTTTTTCTTACAGAAGTTGGAATAATTTAATCAATGTTATAAAATAACTATTTATTTACTGATCCTTAATTACAAGTCGTACTACCTAGCTACACACATTTAAACACTAATTGGTCGTTAGGGAAGATATGTTTAGGTAGTCTTGCTAGTTACTTCAAACTAAACTTATATGTAAGAGTATTGACATTTCTTCGCTCTAGACAATCTTGGTTCTTTGATTAGGGCTAGTTTGTCTTGAATTATTTCATAATGAGATGTTTTTTTCTTATGGTATTTTCTAGGATCTTGAATGTATCTCTAATACAATTTTTTTAAACTATTATTTTTTAAACTATTTTTCTTTTAAATATTTATCTATACCTTTTTTTATTACGTAATATGTGTAAAAAAATTAAATGTTGAAATACCGTCTTTAAATCTAACATAGACTAATATCTTTTAGTTGTATCTGTTCTTTGTTTTACCTTTCAGATGTTGTGTCTTTGAGATGGTGAATGTTATTTATTTTATCAATAAAATGTTGTCTTTGAGATGTGTATCTGTTATTTATTTGATCAAAAAGATGTTGTGTCTTTGAGATGGTGAATCTGTTATTTATTTGATCAGTCAAATGTTGTGTCTTTAAGATGTGTATCTTTTAGTCAAGTCTACATTTCTATACTGTTGTTCCGCGTTAACACACCTGTTCTATGTTAACATATCTGTTCTATGTTAACACACCTATTCTATGTTAGCACACCTGTCATATGTTAACACACCCGTTCTACGTTAACACACCTGTCAAATGTTAACACACCTGTTTGTTTCCATATTTCCAGGTACACAAGCTATGCCTGCACTATACCACAAGAATGTGAGCATTTCACATCCACTCAAGGTTCAACTCTAGCGGTCAAAACATCTCATACACCTGTAGCAGTTAGTGTGTGAAGATATTGTGTAGGAGTCAGTTTTTGGAGATATTGTGTAGGGGTCAGTGTTTGAAAATATTGCGCAGGAGTCAGTGTTTGGAGATATTGTGCTCTCACAATAGGCGTCTGACCAAAGCGGTATTTGTGACCACCTGGATATTATGTGATTACTTGAATACTTACGATCACGTTGCAATCATGCTCACGAATGCACAGCATGACCAAGTGGATGTAATATGATCACGTGGATATAGCGTGACCCCGGCCACCGTGACACCATGACCCCTAACCCTGGAACATTGCTGCACTTCCTCCTGTGTCTCACCTGCTGGCACCGGGCCGCCGCCCAGGTCTTTGACTTTGAATCAGCGTCGGACGAAAGATGGACGACGGTCAACCGGACGTTCTATCGTGCTGAAGCCGGAAGTCAGAGTCACGTGCCAGGCATTCCTAAATTAGACACCACCAACCGCTCATTGCCAGGTAAATTAGACACCACCAACCACTCATTGCCAGGTAAAACAAAACCACTTTTATATTTTGTTTCGTGAACCCATTTTACATGTTCTCAATTAAACTTTTCATTTGATCACATCAAGTTCTATATTTATAGTTGAATGGTTAAAACAAATCGATTTGCCAGTGAACGTAAACATAATGAAATTTAACGCTGTGAAATTAAAACATTTGAAAATAAATAAACATAATGAAATTGAACGCTATGAAATTAAAACATCTTAAATTAATTAAAATTCGTGAAATGAAAGACTATAAAATTAAACATCATAAAATAAATAAACATAATGAAATTAAACATCATGAAATAAATAAACATACTGAAATTTAACGCTATGAAATTAAATTAAAATAACTAAACTTATGAAATAAAAGACTATAAAATTAACCATCATAAAATAAATAAACATAATGAAATTAAACATCACAAAATAAATAAACATAATGAAATTAAACATTATAAAATAATTGAACATAGTGAAATTAAACATTATGAAATTAAACATCATAAACTAAACAAACATGATGAAATTAAATTAACTTTGTGAAGTTAAAACATCTTAAAATAATTAAACATCATGAGATTAAACACTATGAAATTAAGAAATCATAAAATAATTAAACACCTTGAACTTAATCATGAAATTTAACATTAAGAAATTAAACACCATGGAATTAAATATCAAAGCAAAATATTTTTCTAAACCCCCATAAAAAAACTTTCAAAAATTGAAATATTAGAACCCAATCCGACAAAACAAAACAAGATGAATTATATTTTTAGACAATGGAAAAATACATAACAAAAAAGAATAAAAGTTGTTTCCGTTAATCAAAATATGAACAAGATTTTTGGAATCAGATAACAATAAAAAAAAGGCAATCAATAATTATAACAATGCATCCACGCTTTCGTTTGAAATATGTATAAACTATTGATACTGCATCATTTCGCAGTCGTCAAAAAAAGGTGAAAGGGATTAATATTTTTATCGATTAGTCTTATTGATTTCACCTGATCAATCACCCCATCTCGTCGATACAACTTGATTCAAAAGATTTGTTTTGGACGGCGTATCCTTGGTTGAGTTTTGTGGGACTGGGGGTTTTCTGTACAGCAGACGCCACTGGCGTTACTATGGTGGGGCGGTCTGCCCCGGGCGGTACTCTTTCTTCTATATAAATGTATATTTAATGACAATCTACGAGATTGTGTGGTGACGCCCCTGGTCAGGAGACAAAAGATCGTGTTGTACATTATAGTCAGCCACCGTGCACCAGAGGAACTTGAGATATTATCTAAGGGAATTTTTTTTTTGTTTCGTTATTTCTGTTTCCATGTTTTGATGTTTTTAATGATAAGAAGCCGGCAAATTTTTGGCTTAAGAACAAAATTAACGAATTTTTTTTTCTTGTAGCTATAATTAAAAATATCTTTAAAATCCAGATTGGGTTTAAAAATATTATTGGATACAGAATAAAAAAAAGTTGTTGAGCGTCTGAGATAATTTTTGTTGGATTTTAATCACTTATTTACTTGATACGATTTTTGTTGGACATTTAAATACCAACATTTGAAGAGAAAAACGTACGACTAACCTTAGTCTTAGCCTATCTGATGCGGTAGGGTTGTGTTGATTAGTGGGATTAGGCTTTAATTTAGTCAATTTGTAAACGATAGGAGAGTTCAGTCCTTTGAGTCTTTAGGCGGGGGTTGTATACAGAGAGTAGCTACATGGGATAACTGACAGGGGGTAATTGACAGGGGGTAAATGACAGGGGGTAGCTGACAACTGACCGAGGGCATTACTGATTGGGGGAGATGTGTGCGAAATAACCGTGGTTAATAATCCTGCTCCCGGATACTTAAACAAAATCAGGAATCATAGGACAAACTATTAATAGACTACACGCATATATATATATATATATATATATATATATATATATATATATATATATATATATATATATATATATATATATATATATACATATATATATATATATATATATATATATATATATATATATATATATATATATATATATATATATATTTATATATATTTATATATATTTATATATATTTATATATATTTATATATATTTATATATATTTATATATATTTATATATATTTATATATATTTATAAATATAAATAAATTAATTAATTAATTAAAATACATATATATATATATATATATATATATATATATATATATATATATATATATATATATATATATATATATATATATATATATTATATATATTTATATATATTTATATATATTTATATATATTTATATATATTTATATATATTTATATATATTTATATATATTTATATATATTTATATATATTTATATATATTTATATATATATTTATATATATTTATAAATATAAATTAATTAATTAATTAATTAATTAATATATATATATATATATATATATATATATATATATATATATATATATATATATATATATATATATATATATCTTGCAGGTCACTATGGTCTGGCTCTGTACGAGCCACGCAAGGAACAGGTCTACCTGGTGAGTCAGTGTCTGGAGCCCACGGGACCCGACTGTCGTATAGAGTTCAAGGCCATGTTCAAGATCAGTGGCCAGGTCTCCGTGCTGACCATGCAACAGTGCAACTGCAAGAGAGACGTGCACCCCAGGACAATGTTCAAGGCCAGGGCGTCACCCACACACGCAGGGGAGGGGTGAGTATTGGACCTCCTGGGGGGGGGGGGATAATCAGTGGTGCCCAACTTTGGTGGGGAGATAATTAATGCTTTTAAAATTTGTTGGGGAGATAATTCAATTATCCCACATAGTTATCTTCAATACTCTATCTATCTATTATACTACTAAAAGTCAAGTTTGTTTACATGTTTGAATATTTATTTGTTTTTTGTTTGTTTTTTTGTTTGTTTGTTTATTTGGCTGATTGACTATCTCGCATGGTTGCACTCATCGTGGAGAGCTGTAAAATAGTATGTAGGTAGAGAATAATTTTTTAATGCAGACAGACTGTTAATCACAAATTTATTTAAAGACGTTAATTAATTTATTGATTTATTCATACGTAGAGTAACCCATTTTTTTTTAATGTTAAAACTTTGACTAAACTTTGTGGGAATAGTGACGTCACAGGTTTTTGTTTACTCTTTAGTACAATAAAATGGCGGCGTCTATCGAAGAAAATTGTGTTCCGATTCAAAAGTTTAACGCGTTCTAAATCTAATTTTCTGTCGGTCATAACTTTAACAATACGTCCGTTTGCTGTATTTATTACGTTCCAACACTTATATCAATTTTAAACTGTCTTTTTTCATTTAGTTTTACAATAAATTTCTCTAGATCTAAAGATCAGCTGTCGAAGGAAAGTTATGAATCTAGCCTAGATCTAGGTCACTAGACTCAATGTAAATTCTAGATCTAGACTTGATGTAAATTCTACATCTAGAATCTATTTCAGGCCTTAATACATCTAGAATCTATTTCAGGCCTTAATTATTTTATATAAATCTTTGTTTGGCTAATTTAAGATAAAATTTAATTTGAAAGTTACTACTACTAGACTTAGATCTAGATCTATGCGCGTAAATAAAGTTGCATAAGTATAGTATAAAAATTCACTTGTGACGCCACGAGTAAATAGCTATGTTGGTAGAGTAGCCGTCTCTCATGCAAGTGGCACGGGTTCTAGACCAATGTCAATGATATTTTTGTTTTCATTTTTTTTTTTAGATGTGAATGATAAAGTTGCCTATCTGAACTTGGCAGGATACAGGGCAGGTGAAGTAGAGTTCATCTGTTTCTTTGTCCTAAGCATATGAAAGGATAGTGTGGTCAGAGACATGCTCGGCTGGAATCATTTTTTAAACGATAAAAACATGTTGTCTGAGACTTGGCGGGACACTGGGCAGGTGAAGTAGAGTTGAGTAGGTCACATGTGACGTCAGTATAGGAAGGGATAGTCCGAAATCGGTGTTTTCGGTGTTTTTAAAAGATAAGAAACATATTTTTGAATGTGGGGTCTGTTTTTTGTGACGATAAGTGACACTGCAGTAGCATAGCGAGGAGGGGGGGGGGGCGGGAGGGGAGGAGGGGAGGTGGGGGGGGGCGGGGCGCCAAAATGGTTTGGAAAAATAAATTGAAAGGTTGAGGGGGGTTCAAATCGAAAGTTTGAGTGGGGGGGGGGGGGGTGCACATCAAAAGTTTGAGGGAGAGGGGGGTTGAAAATCGAAATCTTGGGGGGGGGGGGTTAAAATCGAAAAGTTTGTCCCCGGGCGCCGGGAAGGGTCGCTATGCCTCTGAGTGACAGACGTGATGTTTTTTGATGGATGACCCCCGAAACCCACAGTTATCCAACGGATGACGGGTATTCTAGTTCTATTTAAAGTTTTCTATCATCTAGTTCACCGCAGGTCTTATCTACACCACTTTCCCGGGAGTTTATTTCGGGAGTTTATTTCGGGAGTTTAGGCGGGAGTTTAGGTCGGGAATTTATGTCGGGAGTTTATGTTGGGAGTTTATGTCAGGAGTATGTCGGGAGTTTATGTCGGGAGTTTATGTCGGGAGTTTATGTCGGGAGTTTATGTCGGGAGTTTATGTAGGGAGTTTATGTCGGGAGTTTATGTCGGGAGTTTATGTCGGGAGCTTATGTCAGGAGTTTGTGTCGGGAGTTTATGTCGGGAGTTTATGTCGGGAGTTTATGTCGGGAGTTTATGTCGGGAGTTTATGTCGGGAGGTTATTTCGGGAGTTTATGTCGGGAGTTTATGTCGGGAGCTTATGTCGGGAGTTTATGTCGGGAGTTTATGTCGAGAGTTAGTGTCCAGCGAGTTGAATATAAGATCGGCCTACTTCCTTACATCGCCATTTAAGCCATTAATTCTTACGCGTGCATACAATCAGCAAAATACAAATCTTAATTGTCCGGATTTTTCTCGGCGGAAATGGCGTTTTTTCAACTCAGAATATTCCACTAAAGATATCTCCCGATCTGGACAGAGCTATCAACCCACCTTCCCCTCTCGAATAGATCCGCTGATGATTAGCGCCGACGCTGTATCCTCTGTTCTTGCAATGAATCGATGTTCTACTCGTGAGTTCTTACAGTGAGGCGATGTTCGGTTTGTAAGTTCGTACAATGAGGCAACATTCGACTCTTGAGTTCGTAAAGCGAGGCGGTATTCAACTCGTGACTTCTTACAGTGAGGCGATGTTCGAGAGTTCTTACAGTGAGGCGATGTTCGGTTTGTGAGTTAGTACAGTGAGGAGATGTTTGATTTGTGAGTTCGTACAATGAGGCGGTATTCGACTTGTGAGTTCATACAGTGAGGCGATGTTCGACTCGTGAGTTCTCACAACAAGGCTACATGGTGTAGTCACGAGTAATATTATGCAACCTGATTTCACCTGATCTATAGATCTGAGCACCAATATCGACAAGGGTGGGGGTAAAGAGGGGGAGGGGGGCTCGTTTAATCCACAAACTGGGGTTGGGACGGTGGGGAGGACGAAAGCAATTAAGGCACTAATTGAAAAAGAAAGAAACCCGACCATTAAGAAAGAAACCCCAACATTTGCAGTGGTGAAAAAATAATTCTCGTGGTGTACACGAGTTGTCCATTACGTGTTGGTGTACACACATTGGTCGGCTTTTGTTGTATGTCGCCCCACGTGACCCGAGGGTGTCAAGAAATGCTAATAGTCCCGGGGCGGGGAAAAAATTACTACTTTTTACCTTATTCATTTCAACGATTTTCCTCTCTCTTTTAAATGATTTCTATAGGGTATAAAGATTTTTTTGCAAACATTCTTAATTGTCCATTCTAGTTAGAATATTTTTTAAAAAATGTTACTTTAAAAAACAAAACAAAAATTGTTGACGATACATCAGTTACATAAAGGTAAAAATGTATGAAAACAAAATCTACATTTGAAGTGAGGAATTTGACCGTCTTAAACGTATCAGTTGACGTGTGAAATCCATTTGTGACAGGAAAAAGCTGAAAGCTTTTTTAAACCTATAATTGAAACAAAACAATTATTTTTTTAGTACACAGGATGGGTCCCTTTAAAATCCTAGAAGTTATTAAAAGTCATTTCCGATTTTTTGGGGGTATAGATCGAGATATGAATATTTCAGACATTTTCTTTCGTCAAATTATCTCCCTTTACAAAATATTCAAACCAACTCGCATTTTTCGTGTCTCGCTTGTCATAGAGAATAATGCATCAGGATGAAGCCCCTTTGTAACTTCACACGGGTATTTTTTACGTAAAAAAAAAAAGATGATAACTCATAAGCAAACATAAAAGAGCTTCATTCAGAAACTAAAAATAAAAAAAAGGGAAGTACCACTGGGGGGTCGTCAGGGACTTGAAATTTGTTGCCGTGTCTATAGAGCTTTTGTTGGTGATCACAAAAATCAGGGGCGGTAACTCTCAGTCTGTGGCCGTGTGGTTTCATCTAGTTTATGGATGACTTTTTTTTTTGGCTATACATTTCTTTAAAATAAAAATAAGTGTGGGCCAAAAGAGGATTGTTTGCTTTAAAGAGAAGGAAACACGTTAAGCGGATATACTTATCACGGTTTTATCTTGTTTTATTCGGCTTGTCTACCTTTTACACTGTACTACAACAAATCAGTGGGCTTTTTTTACTTTTTTTTTACATTTTGATATTTTCGAGGAGGGGGGGGGGGGAGTAGGTGAGGCGAACTAAATTTTCCGGTGGGGGCGGACAATGGTAAGTAGGGGCCTATATATTCTCTAAATAAATTCCATTCATTGGAAGGAGTGGGTGGGTGGGTGGGGGGGGGGGGGGTGAAGGTAGACTTTCATCGGGGGGGGGGGGAGGGGGGAATAAACTACAAGAAATTATGTTTAACAAACTGATAATATAGCACCTTTATACGATTCTATTTAATATTAAAGTGCCAGACCAATCTTCTTGAGTAAGACAATCAGAAACTGTACAAGAAGTTTATCATCTAGAGATCATCTCGCCAGTTCTCGCGAGAGAGTATTTTTGTTTGTCTTAGCTCCGTTGGTATTATGGGGCGGGGTTGATGACATTTGATTGGACAGGATCGACTTCCGGTGAGGAGTTTTGAGAGGCTGACGGTCTGAACTTTTGGTAAACATTGTTTACAGGAGAAATTAACGATCTCGCGAGATGGTAGGCTCGCGCGTGAAATCTCGAGAATATCACGAGACAAACAAATGCGCTAAGTGACGGGGGAGGGGGGGGTGGTGGTAGGGGAGGGGCTCGTCGTTCAGTTATCGACGATCAAATCGTGACGTGATCTCACAGCTGACATCAATGTCTGCTTCACAACACGAATTCCGTTGTTTAAGTCGGAGCTGCAAACCTATAATTGTTGCGATCTATACTTACTGTATACACTATTACATTTCTCAACACATTTTTAAATGCACCTTATTTCAACTACTCAAGCTAAAAAAAAACAACAGCTAAATTGTTGCTTTTTATTTTTTAAAAAATACAACGATTATCTACCCTGTTGCTCTTTGATTCTAATCATCTACCCTGTTTGTTTGTTTTTGTAAAAAAAAAAGCCAGGATTATCTACCCTGTTGCTCTTTATTTCAACAACTCGATTATCTACCCTGTGGTGTGTTTGTTTCCAAATATCTACCCTGCTTATCTTTGTATTTAAAAAAAACCTCGATTATCTATCCTGTTCC